ACAGTCTCCCAAGGTGTGGACCGCTGCTTGGCCTCTCCTTTCCTTGCAGATATTTTTGAGCTTGAAATCAAAATGAAAGTGATAATAAGGAGAATCTGAATTTCTTTTTATACATATTTTGAGTTGGAGCTGGTTCTACTATTCAAAAAATTATATGAAGTTTCTAGTCTTGTTAGTTTCTCGGACAATTTATTCTTCTTTGGGACCCTTACATCAATCAAGGGTATGACAGGGAACTATATGAAATATCTAGTCTTATTATTAGTTTCAATGAAACTCTAATCTTGTTGGTTTCGAGTAAACAAACTCTTATGGGGCAAATTTTTTTTCTTTGAGACGTTTACCCTAAGTGTATGATGGGAAATTATATATGAAATATCTAATCTTATTAGTTTCAAAGAAACTTTTATCAGACTTATTTTTTCTCTCTTTAAGACTATCACAATAAGTGTATATCAAAAAAAAAATTGTATGAGATATCTATTCAAGTTATTTTCTAGCAAAATACAATATATACGTATAGTTAAAGAGGAGTAGGAGGTATTCTAAGTTTTCTCTTATGGAGTAGATCAACAATTTAAGGCAAATAATTAGTTCTAAATGACATTATTATTTATTCTCATATGACTGAATTCATATCTAACAATGTTATACATATGATAAAAGTCTTATCATTTATCCATAGGGCGTGCTCGCTTTTGGTGGGACTTATATATTTAGTGTAGGACAGGGAAATTATATGAAGTTTCTGGTTAGTTTCGAGGGAATTCTTGTTAGACAAAAAACGGGGCCAAGATTATATAAGTATTTTGAGGTGAGTTACAATTTTTTAAGATAATGTCATTATATTTATAGATAAAGTTGTTATTTTTAAGGAGTAATATTTAATGACAAAAAATTTACAGCCACACATTTGAGTAATATTAAATGCCAAAAAATTTATGGCCACACTTTTTTTTGGTACAGTACCACTATTTGACCAAGCGGTATCGTAGACTCTCCCGACTTAGCCAGCCATATATATATATATATATATATATATATATATATATATATATATATATATATATATATATATATATATATATATATATATGAGATAGAATTCTGCTGAAAAAGAAAAGTGGAATTGAATTTGAGAATTTAATCAAGATATAATTCATTGAATTGAATTACAAAGTTTGGGCTAGAGGCCCTGCGGTCATGGTAATCACGCGGGGGTGTGGGAGAATTGGGTTATTTCATATCGGATAGTTTCGGGTGTGTGAGTGTGTTAATCTGTCTTTCCTGGCCCTGGCTCTGTTAGAGTCATTGGTTAGGATTTGATCAAAAAAAAAAAAAATTAATTGTGAGTTTTAAAGTTAAATGAAATTCACTCTTAAAGAAAAAATTGTATACGAATTATGATTTTTGAAGAAAAAATTGATTTTTATTTTTGACTTTATTTTAAAAATAAAATACAACAAAACATGAATTTTATTTATAAAGTTTAAAATATTTGATATTTGATATTTAATTAAAATATTTTTAATCTAAATATAACATTTTAAACTCAACAAGTTTAAGTAATATATATTTATAAATTTCAAGAAGTTTAAGTGTAATTTATTAACGAATATATTCTAAGTGTTACGTTCGTAAAAATTTTAGGAGGTCTATGTATAATATTTTAAATATCAAAGTATCTGAATGATTAAATGACAAATCTCAAGAAATCAGGATGTAAATCTCTTTTTTGGTGGGCAGGCCCATGGTCTAATACTGCTCCGTGGTTGCACCCTTATGATGGCCTTGATAGTTGATAGAGTTCAGTCTCTGAAATATTATTGGCAGAAATTATCCTAGTAGCCTACAACTGAACCGCATTATAGTTGAATTAGGATAATGATACAGAATTTCAAACCACATATCTATATGTACTATTAATAAAAGTATTTTAATAAAAAAAATTTTGATTGACTATTTATTCTTATAAAAAATTAATATATTTTTTTATATTTAAATATATAAATTACCATTATATTCCTTTATATGTAAAGAACAAACTAATCTCTAACATATCATACAAATTTTTCTATTTTTGTAAAACTTTGGAATGGTCATGTTATGCTTACCGCATGATATATAAAAACAATATTATTTTTTTCCTAAAAAACTCAATTTTAATACATGTTGACAACTCGATTGATACAATATTATCTTCAATGCCCAAAAATTTTTTATTGATTATTTTACTCTTATAAAAAAACATAAAGATTAATATGTCCTTTTGTATTTAAATATAAAAATTACTATTATATCTCTTTATATGTAAATCAAAAATTATTCTCTTACATATCATACAAATCTCTCTATTTTTATAAAACTTTTAAATGGTTATGTTATGTTTAACACATGATATATAAAAATAATATTACTTTTTTCCCGAAATTCCAATATTAATACACCTTGACAACTCAATTGATACAATGTTATCTTCAGTGCTAAAAAAGATATATATTTATCTTATCTCTTCATTAACAATTAAAATAATTTAGTAAATTTAGATATATATTTATTTTTTTTAGAATTACTATATAGCATAAGATAGTGACCAACAACAACCACATTTCAGCCACAAATCACTATTGGCAACCCCAAAAAATCAAGTCTACAATGTCTAGTCAAAAAATAGTGGCCCACTATTAGGAATCTTTAGACAAACAATCAACTTGCCCTTAATGGGGTCTAGTGAGCGACTCCATAAATTGATTACTTTCCCCGACTTTCGGGTACAAAGAAAAATCAAAGCCCTCGAAAAGTGATGGAAGACACCTAGCAAAGAACTATTTAACACGTGGCAACAAGTATTTACACTTATCATCCAAATTTTGGGTATTAAATTAATGTAAACCACTAATTTAATTTAATGATTTGGACTGTACCCTGTCAGTGGTCAAAAATCACAATTATAATTTTTTTTAATCAGATTTTTTGCAACAATGAATACAAAAAAAATAGATTGATGGATATCATTGATTGATTCCCACCACTAGCATTATTACTATCTTTATCATCACCATTATCACCGTTATTGTCGCCATCCTATCATTACCTTCGTCACAATCACCACCGCCCCACCCCCACCACCGCCACTATCACCATCCCATTATTATTTCTGTCACAATAACCAACGCAACAACCACCACCGCCCTCACCATCATCACCATCACCATCACCATCACCACTGTCAACGTTACCACCCTATCACCACCTCTACCACAACCCCCACCACCACCACTTCTGCCACAATAACCACCACCACCATTATCATCACTATTGTCACCCATCACCAATTGCTATCACCGTCGCCCAACGCCACTATTATCATCATCTCATTCTTATATTTATTACCACAATTACCCACCACCACCACCGTTGCCCACCTCTACTATTGTTGTCCACCATCTCCCACTACTACAACCCACCACCACCCTCGTCGCCCACCATCACCGTCGTCACTCACTATTGTCGTCACCCATTATCACATACCCCCACCACACCAACTACCATCACTCATCATCGTCCATCACCACCCGTCATCATTCATTATCACCCACCCCCACCGCACATACCTCTACCATTGTCATTCGCCATCATCCATCACCATCGTCGCCCACCACCACCACAACTACCGTCATTGTCCCACCACCACTACTGTTAATCACTATCGCTATCGCGTATCACCACGCACACTTACCATTACCACCATCATCACGAATGACTGTCACTACTATTATTGTCACTCAAAAATCACCATCATCATCTCTGTTTGTCATCCACGACTGTCACCATCATTATTATTACCGTTCACCCTCACTACAACTGATGCTTAAATTATTTTTCCTCTTCTTTATGTTTATGATTTGATTTTGAGTGTGAATTAAAATATGTCTATTTTGATTTAATAAGTTTTTTTGTTGACTGGCTTTGACTCAAAAAGCAATGCCTCACTTCATGCAAGACACGAACCAAATAATTATGAGGAATCTTATTTGCATTTAAATATTTGATATAGTTTATTGATATAATGATGTGACTTCAGTAAAATTAATTAATCAACACTAAATTCTAATAGTTGATGAAGTCTATAGTCAATCAAAGGTTATAGTGAATTAGATCTCAATAACATTGCTCATATAAAATATCGTAACAAGTATTACCTATATCCAAATTTTGGGTATTAAATTAGTGTAAACCATTAATTTAATGATTGGGACTATACCATGTCAAATGAATATAAAAAAAATTCAGTCTCGTATTTTTAAAATTTATTACTTTAGTAAGTGTTTTTAATTTGGTCAATTTCGAGGAAACTCTTGTGAGACAAAAGTTTTTTCTTTGGGACCCTTACATCAAGTATATGACAAAGAACTATATGAAATATCTAATATTATTATTAGTTTCAGCCAAACTTTAGTTTTATTAGTTTCGAGGAAACTCTTATCTTACAACTTTTTCTTCTTTGGGACCCTATCATAAGTGTACGAGGGGAACTATATATAAAATATCTAATTTTATTAGTTTCGAGGAAACTCTTGATTGAGTGACTTATTATTATTTATTTCTTTGAGACAACCACAATAAATATACGTCAAAAAATTGAATGGAATGTCTATTCTTGTTATTTTCTGGCAACAAACTATACGTAAACAAAACAAAACGAGGCCTTGGAGTAGATCAATAATTTAAGACAAATAAGTAGTTCTAAATGGCATTATTATATATTCATATATGATGCATCTATATCTAACAATGTTTATTTATCGATACTATACAGGTCTTATCCAATTTATTTTTATTTTTGTTCAGTAATTGACTTTGACTTTTCAACTGACGACTCATTTTAGGTGGGCCCCTAAACTAAGAATATATCTAACCGTGTTGATAGGGGGGCCTTACTACCATCCAACAAATCACATCATTTGGGTGCTTCCTTTTCCAGAGATATATGTATTTCACCCTTTTCTGGCTGTCTCTAAAACAGATGAAATGAAATGAAGCCACAAAAGAAGAGTTAAGAGATAAGTACACCTTGGCTTTGCTTTTCTTTCTAGTTATGATGTCAGGAAGGAGGAGGAGGAGGGGGGTCTTCTTGCTTGCAAGCCAAAGATTTCTTCTACTAATTGTATTGTGCGTAACAAGTAGGTGCTGCAAAGCCCAGCAAAAGAATGATCAGAACTGCACTTCGTCTTGCGGGAATATCCATGACATACACTACCCTTTCTGGCTGGAAGACGATCCCCAGCACTGTGGTCTTCCCGACTACCAACTTGCCTGCAACAACAATCGCACTATACTATACCTTAAAACTCGTCCTTATGCAGGGTACGACTACAAATTCAACTACTCCTACTACGTGGAGGCAATCACTTATGACAACTTCTCGATTCGACTTGTTGATCCCGGTCTAGACAAGGATAATTGCTCTTCTCTTTCAATTCAATCTGTCTTACCATATGCTGAATATTTCGGATTCTCCACAGTAGGGTCATACTTTGGTGTTATGTTCACAAGCTGTCAGAATCCCGTAAATAGGAGTGGATATGTGGACGCTAGCTTTTGTGATAAAAGAAACACTACTTCCACCTCCAACACTACTTCACCATCTCCGTTGCAAAATCATAATTATGTTGTATTAGGAGAAATGGATTTCTCAGAACTGGAGGACTCCTGCAACATCGGCAGTTCGGTTTTGACATCAGCAGATATTCCACGGCTCCTGACGGGAGACAACATTTCTTTTTCGGACTTATATGACGGGCTTGCATATGGGTTTGAGCTTTTATGGTATCTCGTCTATTGTGGACAGTGTGAAGCAAGAGGCGACTATTGCCCTCTCGTATTTGAGGACAATGTTGTCCATTGCTTAGGGGACGGAGCCAGAACCAAAATCAGAACTAGAATCAGAAATACATTGAGAAATGTATTATTAGGTGAGCACATTTAATCAGCAAAATTTTAATTTTTTTTTCTCATCAATAAAAGTATTGTGGTAAAAATATTTCCTTTTTTTTATTTACATCCTGTTGCATGTTTAAAGATTCATCAAATACAAAAATGTTAAACACCAATACACGTAGTCTATGCAAACAATACTCAATAAAAAAAGGCTAATTATAAGCTTTTACAAAAAATGAGACTAATTACAATAAACCCTGACAACTGATAACGTTATTAATAATGTTATCAAAAATGTCTTTCTCTATATAAGTAATTAAGTTAATAGTCAAATCTATCTTGAGATTATCAACTTACAAAACATGTCAAATCTATCTTGAGAGCACGATGATCTTACTAAAAATCTCCTAAATATCATAGTATCAAGTGTTTGAGTTTTTCTATTTTCAGTTCTCACATTTTTCATTTTGGTTTGCTGACATTGTTTATGTTTGGAAAATGTAGGCTTGCTTCAGTGGTTGATTTGTGAGTATTCTCTCTATTCTTTTCTCCTTTTCTTTCATGTTTATAAGCCTCTTCCTATAACTTTTTTAACATCTTATCTTTGGTGTTGCTCTCTTTTGGAATTTCTGACAGATGTTTTCACTCTAGTATACAAACCAATCGGTAAGCTAAGACCCTCAATGTAATTTTGGCTTGTATTTAATGTCAGATTTTCAAATTTCCCTCGGCTAGAAGGAAAATGTGACTCAAATTGGCATGTTTTTGATAAGTCTGACTTGCGATCGCATTTTAGACTGTTAAGTAAAATCAGCCCCTTTTCTTTCCCCCACCACAAAAAAAAAAAAAGTAATCCATAAGTATCTTTCTCTTTTTCAAAATTCCGAATTCACATTAATTTTTTCTATTAAAATTTGCACAGGATGGTTTATTGCAGCAAGGTCTTTCTGCGGGATTTCATTTCTTCTCGCATTAGTGGTATATAAATGGAGAAGGCGGCACCTATCAATCTCTGACAACATTGAAGACTTCCTACAGAGACACAACAACCTGATGCCCATAAGGTATAGTTACTCAGAGATTAGGAAGATGACTAATGGTTTCAATGAAAAATTGGGCGAAGGAGGCTTTGGTACTGTCTTTAAAGGAAAGCTTCGAAGTGGCTCCCTTGTTGCGGTGAAGAAGATAGGCAAATCCAAAGCTACTGGGCAAGAATTTATCAGTGAGGTTGCTACCATTGGAAGGATTCACCATTTTAATGTGGTGAGACTCGTTGGCTTCTGCGCGGAGGGTTCAAAGCGCGCTCTTATATATGACTTCATGTCTAATGGGTCTCTTGAAAAACATATTTTCCCACGAGAAGAAAAAACCGTCTCCTTGAGTTGTGAAAAAATGTATAAGATTTCTCTCGGAGTGGCTCATGGGATTGAATATTTACATCAAGGTTGTAACATGCAAATCTTACATTTCGACATCAAGCCCCACAACATTCTTCTTGATGAGAATTTCATTCCAAAAGTTTCTGACTTTGGGCTTGCGAAACTATATTCAATAGATGATAGCATTGTGCCTTTGACTGCAGCAAGAGGCACAATGGGTTACATGGCTCCAGAATTGTTCTACAAAAACATAGGAGGTGTCTCATACAAAGCTGATGTGTATAGTTTCGGAATGTTGTTAATGGAAATGGGGGGCAGAAGGAAGAATTTGAATGCAATTGCTGATCGCCCAAGCCAAATTTACTTCCCCTCATGGGTTTATGATCGATACAGCGAAGGAGAGGACATTGATTTGGGAGCTACCACTGAGGAGGAAAAGAAGATGGTTAAGAAGATGATCATAGTAGCGTTCTGGTGCATACAACTGAAGCCTATTGATCGTCCTTCTATGCACAGAGTGGTGGAGATGCTGGACGGAGATGTTGCACTCCTGAAAATGCCTCCAAAGCCTTTTCTAACTCCACAAGAGATCCCAACTGAGAATCATGAAATGAACAAAGTTGTTGTAGAGTTACCATTGTTGTCAGGTAACTCTGTAGATTCTCTCAGTGCGGATATTGAAGATTGAGGTAATGCAGGTAGCAATGAGTGCATCCATAAAATAAATCAAGCCAACAATCCTTATCAGACTGAGAGATTATGAGCAAAATTTCCCCTGTTTTGCTATGGTAAACATAAATCTAGTCACTTCATTTTATATTTTGAAATGCCTCTTCATGGCCACATGACATTTGAGTTTTAACATTTGTGCAAGCTTGCTTAATTGAAATCTAATAAACTAAAATGATTTCCCATCTATAGAGGTTATGGAATTATATCATGGTTGTTATATGATGATCAATATTTTAAGAGATACCTTAATATTTTCAAAATAACACTTTACCCCTCCAACTCATCTCTGTTTTTGGAAAGACCTTTATGGTTGTTAATGGTCCTTACATGTAAGGATAAATATATTGACATCCCTTATTGTTTATCTATCAATCCAAGTCGATAAATTGTATCAACAAAACATATCCAACTAATAATATTATTGTTTCTAGAACAACACTAAACCCCCATACTTTGGGATTGAATTTCCCTGACTTGACAAACCTGAAATTGCAATGGAGTTTCCTAATATCAACAGATTCATTGGTTTAGAATGTGAATAATAACCCTTGAAAATAACTCACCCACTACAGAAGGCAAGACCCAATACCAAACCCCATGCACAACTACCCATTTGCTTCCTCTTCCTTCCGTCCACAACCAAACGCGCGCCCACACACACATCTGAAAATCAAACGCGGCCGAAAATCAGGTGGTCCGCTGCCTCCACCTGCCACCAGTATCACCAATTTGAGAAATCGCACTCTTTCCTCTTTGTAGTAAAGATTTGACCAGCAAAAACAAGAATGAAAATATTTAGCAATAATCCGAACGTACACACACACACACATATTTATATATACCGGTATGCACACTCATATATCTTTATGCATAAATACGGGAAGAGCCAAAGAGAGAGATAGCACTTGCCATGAATCATAATTACTTTTCTGTCTTATCGGCTTACACATCCAGTCCCAAAGGATTAGAAGCAAGTGAAAGGAGGGCATTTCAAAGAAAACCCTCCTATAAAAAAAAGTGACATAAGAACCTCATCTGCCAAGATTCCGTCCCTCCTCCTCTGCGTTGCTTGTACCATCTGGTGAAATGAAATAGTTGAAAGACTAATTGGGTTTCTTATCTACCCCAAAAAAAAAAAAAGATTAATAAATTTTCTCTTCCAGCAACGAAGATCTAGAAGAACTGGTGTCACCAAACTTTCCTCAACTTTGCACTCATGCTATGTATGAGAACACCAATCGCACATGTGAACTACAATAGTCAATCTAACATCGGATATTCGTGGCATGCACTTCAATCATCAAAAGATAAAGGGTATTGGTGGCATGTTCCTATAGGTCATCCTTTTTTCATTCCTTTTTTAGGTCTTGGCTTCAATGAATGTCAAACAAGTACAACTCGAGTACAACACAAACCAGTGATTAAGAAAAGAACATTGCAATTTTTATTCGAAACACTAGTAAAAATTAGAGGAACAGATACCATCTTTTATGTTCATACCTCAAGTTTTGCAGTCCCCACCGGAAACAGTAAAAGAATTTCTGCGGGAAATCCGTTGATTGGACAACACCAGACTGAAGAGCGTCAATGAATATCCCAAATTCAAAAAGTGTTGCATTTGGTGTCTGTATAGGGCATGTATTATTCAGAAATGTGATAAATCCGACATTATTGTCATCACAATACACTGAAGCATGGACACAATCAGCCCTACTTGCACAAGCTTTTCGCCAGCTAGTAGTTTCACGTTCAATAGAAAACAAGTACCAAAAGGCTCCCAGTAGCTGAGAGCAGCCAAAAGAGAGCTTTGTAAGATAACCGATAAAATAACACTAGAATAAGACAAATATTTTTAGTGAACAGGCTAAATTCGAGATCAAGAAAGATTTTATAATGCATATGCAATTAGATGCCAAAAAGGTTGCAACTACAGACAAAACATGCATGCAATAACCACAAAAAAAAATTAAAAAAGAAAACATACATGCACTAGGGCAAAAATCATCCTTCTTGTTTATGCCTCAGAAATTATCACACACTAGTATAATAATGCAGAACCAATCATTAGACTCCGCTCAAAATGTTTCTTAAAAAACCTGCCCCAAATTGCTGAACAAGAAGAAAACGGATTTGGAATTGTCCGGAGAGGAATGGAAAATTGCAACGTGAGGACATTTTGGCAATGCAGAAATCTTTTCTCACCTGTGGCAGTGGAAGAACAGCTAGAATGTCAATTAAAAAGTACGATGATAAATATCTCTTTGCTATTGCCCAAGCATCTTCCACTAAAACACCTCTTCCAAATACTCGCGAAGAAGGAGCAATAAAGCGGGTACGAAATTGAAAGAAGATATGGATTATGTAAAAGATATCAGTGAAGGAACGCAATACACTAGTTGTGACCTCCAACTTTTTGTCCAACCCAAGGCACTTCTTCTCATTATCTATCAGTGGAATGTAAAAGAAAAAAGGATCCAAAGAGACAGCTAACTCACATGACAATGCAAATATTTTATTCCACTTTTGAAGGAAATGTCCTTGTGCTCTGTAGGTGACGGATGCGATAGAGATGTTGGTACGTATGTCACATAGAGGCGCTTGTGGTTGTGAGACAAATACTGGTGATGGAGCTGGTATTCTCGTAGCTCTTCCTCATGACTTCTATAAGGAGGTGTGTTTATCAGCTTCACTTTCATTTCTCTTTTGAGGTAATAACTATGAAGACGTTTTTCTATTAACAACCTTTCTCGACAGGGAATCTATTTTTTATTTTTGAAAGCTAACCTATTAAATATATTAAATGATGTATATTTATCTGTTTAGTTAAGCTAGAATTAGTTTTATAATTAGTTAGCCAGCTGGATGCAAGAAGTTAGTTTGTTATGCAAGCAGTTAGTTTGTTATTCTAATTTGTATATAAGGTTTTTCCTTATACACGATTCTGTAACTGCTTATCATTTTTAATCAAAGAAGATTTTCTCTCTATTTTTGATTTGGTATCAAAGCTCGGTTAGAGCATCAATGGCTTCCGCTAACTCTTCTTCTTCATCTTCTTCTTCTTCTTTTTCCTCTGTTTCAGAAGAAGTTAATAATCCTTATCATCTACAAAATGGTGATAATCCTGGAATTGCTTTGGTTTCTCAACACTTGGATGGAGATAACTATCAAACCTGGAATCGATCTATGATCTTGGCTCTCACAGCCAAGAACAAAGCAGGTTTTGTGGATGGATCCATCAACAAACCTTTAAATTCTGCAGATCCAAATTTCTTTGCTTGGTCTCGCTGCAACACTATGGTCCTGTCATGGTTGTTGAATTCAATATCCAAAGACATTGCTGCAAGTGTGATCTATTTCAATACGGCTCAAGAAGTTTGGAAAGATCTTCAAGATCGTTTTTCGCAGGCCAATGGACCTCGTATTTTTCAATTACAAAAGGCTTTATCAGATCTCACACAGGAGCAGATGTCTGTTAACCATTATTTCACTAAACTGAAAGGTCTTTGGGATGAACTATCCAATTACAAGCCAATTCCTCAGTGCAATTGTGGACAATGCACATGTGGAGGTTTCAAATCTTTTTCAGATTATCAACAGAAGGAATGCATTCTGCAATTTTTGATGGGACTCAATGACACTTTTTCACAGGTCAGAGGTCAGATCTTACTGATGGATCCAATGCCTCCCATTAACAAAGTATTTGCTTTGGTTTTACAAGAAGAGAAACAGAAGCAAATCATTTCTCCTTCATCATCCTCCTTCAATCCAACAGTTTACTTGTCTAAAGCTGGAAATTCCTCTGCTAATATGCGTTCTTATGAGAAGAACAAGAATACAATGAGAAAGGAGAAACCCACATGCACTCATTGTGGCATTTTAGGACACACTGCTGATGTATGCTATAAATTGCGTGGGCCTATATGCAGTCACTGTGGTATAGCTGGACATACCACTGATGTGTGCTACAAATTGCATGGTTATCCAGTAGGATATAAATTCAGAGGGAAAAATGCTCCAAATCAGTCTACTTATGGTGCAAATCAAGCTGCAATTCAGGGGACAATGAATTCCAATTCATCCTCCGAATCTATTTCACATGAGACTTCTTCACAGTTTCCAATAACTCAGGCTCAATGTCAGCAATTGCTACAATACCTCAACTCTTCAAATCCTTCTGGTATAAATCATCAAGCAGCAAGTGCAAACCTTACCAACTCTAATCAACATCTTTCCGGTACTTCTATTTTTTCCTTTAGTAGTCATTTACATACATATACATGTTCCAATGAATGGATCATTGACACTGGAGCAACAAATCATATGGTACATTCTGTGTCTATCCTAACTAATGTCACTGCTGTAGCAAACCTATCTGTTAATCTTCCCAATGGGGAATCTGTCCCTGTTACTCATGTTGGAACAGTAAAATTTTCTCCTTCTTTTGTTCTAACTGATGTGTTTTGTGTTCCTAATTTTCATTTCAATCTTTTATCAGTGAGCAAACTCACATCTTCCATGAAATGTGGTCTCATTTTTCTGTTTGATCATTGTTTTATTCAGGACCTCATCAATTGGACGATGATTGGACTGGGTAAACAAAAGGACGGACTTTATATCCTACAAAAACCAGCAGCCAATGTTGTTTCTAGTTTTTCTGTTGCACATCCTTCAAATAATTCCTCAAATGATGTACTTACAGACTTGTGGCATTATAGGCTAGGCCATCCTTCCTTTCTAAGAATGTCATTGTTGCAAAATACTGATATTTCTTTTCCTGTTCTTATGAATAAACATCATGATTGTACAATTTGTCCTCTTGCCAAACAAAAACGTTTATCTTTCCCTTTTCATAATCACTTTTCTGCATCACCTTTTGATTTAGTACACTGTGATATATGGGGTAGTCCTTTTGTTGCTGCTACATATGATGATCATCATTATTTTCTTACCATAGTTGATGATTGTACTCGTTCCACATGGGTTTATTTGCTGAAAGCCAAGTCTGAAGTACGTAACTTACTTCAATCATTTTTTACTCTAGTTGAAACTCAATTTCAGACCAAAATAAAGACATTAAGAAGTGATAATGGTCGCGAATTTGATATGAAAGATTTCTATTCTTCTAAAGGAGTAATACATCAATTAAGTTGTGTAGATACTCCTCAGCAAAACTCTGTCGTTGAGAGAAAGCATCAGCATATACTCAATGTGGCCCGAGCTCTTATTTTCCAATCCAATCTTCCCTTGCATTTTTGGGGAGATTCCATCTTAACAGCAACCTATCTCATTAATCGAATGCCTACACCTTTGCTCTCAAACAAATCTCCTTATGAACTTTTGTTTAAAGCATCTCCTACTTATAAACATCTCAAGGTGTTTGGTTGTCTTTGTTATGCATCTACCTTAGCTCAAAACAGAACCAAATTTGATCCTCGAGCCAGGAGATGTGTTTTTCTTGGATATCCTTTTGCCATAAAGGGTTATAAATTGTATGACCTTGATACAAACAGCTTCCTCATTAGTAGAGATGTTATCTTTCATGAAACAACATTTCCCTTTCATGAATCTAATTCGTTCCCACCTCAATCTTCAAATACACTCATGCGCACTGCTTACTCTCCTGACATTGTTTTACCTCGTCCTATACCTGATATAGAACCCATTTCACCATCTCCATCTTCCCCTTCTCCTATTATTTCTACTCCTATGGTTCCCCAACTCCGTCGTTCCGGTAGAACTCACAATGCTCCTGATTATTTGCGTGATTATCACTGTCAAATGGCAACATCCCTCTCCTCCCCATCCATATCTGCGTCAACTAATCCAGGTTTGCCAATTGATCATTCTCCAAATCAGCCCTATGATATCACTGCATCCCTTTCTTATACTCAACTTTCACATTCCCATAAACAATTTGTGTTAGCAATTACAACTGATTTTGAGCCTCGGTTTTATCACCAAGCTGTGAAATATCCTCATTGGAAAGATGCCATGGCTGCTGAAATTACAGCCTTGGAAGAAAATCACACATGGACACTTGTTCCTTTACCTCCTGACAAGCACACTATTGGATGTAAGTGGGTGTATCGAATCAAGTATAAATCTGATGGCACTATCGAGAGGTATAAAGCTCGATTAGTGGCCAAAGGTTATACTCAACAAGAAGGCTTAGACTACCATGAAAAATTTTCCCCTGTTGCCAAGCTTCCTACTATTCGATGTTTATTAGCCATTGCAGCAGCAAAACATTGGATTTTAGAGCAACTGGATGTTCATAATGCATTTTTACATGGGGATTTGCATGAGGAAGTATACATGGATTTGCCTCCGGGTTTTGGTTCTCGACATGACTCCAGGGTTTGTAAGCTGAACAAATCCTTATATGGACTCAAACAGGCCTCTCGTCAATGGTTTTCCAAATTTTCATCTACCATTGTTCAGCATGGGTTTGTTCAATCCAAGGCAGATTATTCTCTTTTCACACGATCCCAAGGTTCAAGTTTCATTGCTCTGTTAATCTATGTTGATGATATTGTTTTAGCAAGTAATGATCAGGCAGCGATTGATGATTTGAAGCTATTTCTTCATCAACATTTTAAGTTGAAAGAGCTTGGTCCTTTGAAATATTTTCTTGGTCTTGAAATTGCTCGAACTAAGCAAGGACTTTCTGTTTGCCAGCGAAAGTATGCCCTTGATATATTAGCTGATACTGGCTTTCTTGGTTGCAAACCAGCCAAATTTCCTATGGAACAGAATCTGAAAATTAATCAGTCTGATGGTAAATTGTTGGAAGATCCATCCTCTTATCGTAGGTTGGTTGGGCGTTTGCTGTACCTTACTATTACCAGGCCAGACATCACTTATGTTGTTACTATTCTAAGCCAGTTTATGGCTCAGCCACGACACCCTCATCTTTTATTAGCCCATCGTGTGCTTCAGTATATCAAGAACAGTCCTGGTCAAGACTTATTCTATTCAGCAACTTCCTTATTACATCTTAAGGCATTTTCTGATTCGGATTGGGCTGGTTGTCAAGATACACGTCGTTCTATCACCGGTTATTGTGTTTTTCTTGGAAATTCTCTCATTTCTTGGAAATCCAAGAAGCAAACCACAGTGTCCCGCTCCTCTGCAGAGGCCGAATACAGATCCATGGCTTCCACTGTTTGCGAAATTTTATGGTTAAAATATTTACTTGCTGATTTCCAAGTTTCTCATCTTCAACCAGCTACACTTTTCTGTGATAATCAATCTGCCCTTCATATTGCTTCGAATCCGATCTTTCATGAAAGAACGAAACATATTGACATTGATTGTCATTTGATTCGTGATAAGATTCAAGATGGGATTATTCAAACTAGCCATGTGTCCTCTAATCATCAAATTGCATATGTTCTCACCAAAGCTTTGGGTTCTGCTCAGTTTCATTTTCTTATCTCCAAGATGGGTGTGTTAGATATCCACAAGCCATCTTGAGGGGGGCATATTAAATATATTAAATGATGTATATTTATCTGTTTAGTTAAGCTAGAATTAGTTTTATAATTAGTTAGCCAGCTGGATGCAAGGAGTTAGTTTGTTATGCAAGCAGTTAGTTTGTTATTCTAATTTGTATATAAGGTTTTTCCTTATACACGATTCTGTAACTGCTTATCATTTTTAATCAAAGAAGATTTTCTCTCTATTTTTGATATAACCGTTTTATTTTCTTTGTGATGAATTTATTTGGTTATGTAATTTTCGTTTCGAATTTGCGTGAATATATAAGGGGAAAGAAACAAAAAGAGAAAAATGTTTAGTAAGTATGCGTGTTTCTAATACCTTAACTGAATTCTAATTTCTAGCGGTTTTACTCTTGTTGTCTTTGGCTCAAGGCCATATTCTCCTTTACTTTATTATAAACTACTAGGTGGTGATTTTTGTTTGGTCATCTTGTAACAGGTTGCTAAGGATATTGGTTTCGAGCTGGCACCACGTTGACAATATGCCGTGGGCATGTTCTTCTTGCCTGCATCCGAAAGTCGAAGGGAGCAAAGCAAAATTGTATTTACAAAGGTAACTTAGCTAAAATTTGGTCTGTTTGTTCTCATTTCTTTTGCTGTCTATGTTTAGTTTAGTGGAGACTTCATCTATATTCTTATTCTTTTACGTGAACTCCAGCGAGGAGCATCTTCATTATTGCTCAAATATTTGAAATGGAATTCTTGGCACAGTTCCGGATTTCTATGTTTTGAGTTGCCATTCCGATTAATTGCTAGAATTTTCTTATATCTTGTCTTGATGTTGTTTTCTGAGAATTTATGAAATATATTTGTAGGTGGCCGAGTCTCTTGGGCATACTGTACTTGGGTGGCGCATGGTCCCCACAGATAACTCAGGATTGGGCCAATCGGCTTTGCAGATAGAACCTGTTATTGAGCAAGTGTTTTTTACACCTACGCCTCGGTCAAAAGCTGATTTTGACTCTGTTATGCTAGAATCAGTTTTTAGGCTTGAAAGTGGGATGATTTGTCCGTTCTGCATTCACTGGCTTCCCCTGACTAAATCCATGATAACTAGTACCTATAGTGGATTTTTGGCAGAAAGTACTCACAATATTGGGGTTACATGATTTGTCAGTTGTGCATGGACTGGCTTCCCCTGATTGAATACAATCCACTAGTACCTCCAGTGGATTGTCGGAAGAAAGTACTCACAATATTGGGGTTGTTGCATGATTTCCCATGGGGAAGTTCCCTTGATTTTACAATCTATTTGTTTTGTAAAAATGAGGTGAAATTGATGAACCATGTGACTCTTGCAGCATACTTTCTCAGTCCTCTCTTATTTCCCGTAATGTGTTTTATTTGAGAGTTTCATCCAATTATTTTCTTCCTTTGAAAGACTCCTGGTCTTCGCACTTTTTGTTGTCTTTCTTTTTCATTCTGCAGATGTATATATGAAGGGGGGTTTCAATGGTGGTAGCTATTCGAGCTGCACTAAACCTCCAACATGGTGGTGTGAGGGACTTCTACATATGTTCTCTTTCCTCAAGGCTTGTTTGCTGTAGTGTCTTGCCGATATGTTCATTTGCTGAATTCTGCTTTCAGACTGTGAAGACCTTACCTTGTTTCTGCAGGACTGTTGTCTACAAGGGTCAGCTGAAGCCCAATCAGTTGAAGGAGTACTACTATGCAGATCTTGGCACTGAAAGGTTTACAAGCTACATGGCCCTGGTAAATATATTTTTCATTTACACTTCTTCTTTGTACACTGACTCCATACATCGGCAACGAACAGCATGGGATGAACCAGTTAACTGGAGAGATTTCAAGGTTGAGGAATGACTTCTGAGGCATTGAAGTTTGAATGATCTCTTAAGTTCTTCCACTCCCTAGATTACTGTTTGAATTTGGATGCCAGAATGGATTTTTTGGGTGAGTTGGTAAAGTACCTCATTATGAAGTAAATCATGTTTGCAGAAACTTGGTGCCTTGCTTTCTATGATCAGTCCTTAAGGACAAAACCTTCATGTTGGTGGTTGAAAAGAAATTGTGTTTGGTCAAGGTAGTTTAGGGTTTCCATGATGTTTTGTACTGTCATTACAGTATATCATAATTGTAGTGCCCTGAACACGATTTCATTTCCAATTATGAAGTTAAGAACCCATATTTTCATAATGTGGACACATTTTGGAGTGAAAATATGGTTTTTTTGGATTCTTGGTGCAGATACACTCTAGGTTCTCAACTAACACATTTCCGAGCTGGGATCGTGCTCAGCCTATGCGTGTCTTGGGCCATAATGGGGAAATTAACACACTCCGGGGAAATGTAAATTGGTAAGTTGTTTAGTAACTAGTGAATTAATTGTTTTCCATGCCATTTTGGTCAGCAATTTATTTTGAGAAGCTTCGTGTAGAGTTTGATATTTGATTGGTAAAATTGGTTGTATCTGTGATCCGTTTGCATGCTCACATCTACTTTTTTAGGAGAAACTTCCCATTTTTCGGATAAGCAGGATGATGATGTTGTCAATTTAAAAATGGTTAGTTAAATAGGTGCAGCTTTTTTTGAATGACAATGATCCGTTTGCATCCTCACATCTAAGGCCAGACATGTTCCTCAATTATTTAAGTCAATGATGTCTTTTTAAACTAGAGAAGTTAATGACACCGTTCTACTTTTTTTTTGTGTACAATCCTTGGATTGTAATGTTAATAAAATGTGTGATACTGATGAGGCAGTGTTGTTGAATGCAGAAATTTCCTGCATTTTGAACGCAGAAATTTATAAAAATATATAACGATGACTGGATGCACTAGAAAGCAGAGGCACTGCACCCCGCAGATGTATGATAACCTGACCAAACCTGGAAGCAAAGATCATTGGCAGAAGTATGATAACCTGACCTAACCTGGAAGCAAATATCATTAAGTTACATAATTTGGATTTTTGTTTGAGGGATGCAGTCAAGACTCATGTTGACATTGGCCTGTACTGGGGTCCGGAATGCAGATTCTAGTGATTTACCACTGAATACCTGCAATGAACCTTCTAGTACCTCCAGGATCGCGTTCCCTAAAAACTATGCTTCCCCTGATGAAATCCATTGATAACAAGGCTTTTGAGGAGGGATGGATGGTGCCACGGCCTCCCTCAAGGCGAACTGGGTATGCTTTTGATTTTTAGCTTGACTGTAGTTTCCCACATCTTAAGAGGTGTTCCACTTTTAAAAAAATATATATTTTCTGTTCTGGTGTGATTGCAAGTCTTAAGATTCTTTTTTAAGCTTAGAAACTTCCGTTTCTTTTATTGGACTTTTCCACAAGTACTATATTGTCTCGAATGAAATGTCATGGCGAAACTGATCCTAATATTCCTCACTCTTACAGAAAAAGAGTTGCTATCATTGGAAGTGGCCCTACTGGATTGGCTGCCACTAATCAATTGAACAAAATGGGCCATAGTGTGACTGTGATTGAGCGTGCTGATTGAATTGGTGAACTTATAGAGGAAAAAAGATAAAAACAGAGGAAGAAGAAAGCTTGAATTGATATGTCTCTTATTCAATAATTGGCAACGTGAACCATTAGGCATTACAAGAGGAGTATTTAAACAAGTAATACAACGAAATGATTTCCAAAAAATCTGCTACAAATGGTCTGATTTCTCATAAAATCTGCTGCTACAAATGGTCTGATTTTTCCTGATTTTTAGGACTTGCTGGATAATTATTTTGGTTTAAACTTATTGCAGTTAGAGCTCCAATGCCCCTCAACGTCTCTCCACTAATTTCGGCAATATTGTGAGAGTCTTCTCCCTTTTTTCTCCAAGAATCTTGTGCTTCCTTATTGCTCCATTGACTCTCACTACTGTTGAGTGTGCCGAGCTGTGGTTTGTTGCTAATACTTATGATGTATGGGGTCCCTAACATGAAGACTGACAAAGTTGATGTTGTCCAAAGGAGGGTTAACCTTATGGAAAAGGAAGGTGTGAATTTTGTGGTCTATGTTAATGTAGGAAAAGATCCTTTTTACTCATTGGATCGGCTTCGCCAGGAGAATGATGCTATTGTTTTGGCGGTAGGCGCCACAAAACCCAGGTGAGTCATGGAGAATGAGTTATGGATGATGCTTGTTTGGATTGTTTATAAATAGAAAATTTGTGAAACTTAACAGATCTTTCCCCCCATCTTCAGGACAGAATATAACTCGTGAACTAATATTTATAGGACCTCCCTGTTCCTGGGCGCGAACTCACTGGAGTCCATTTTGATATGGAGTTTCTTCACGCCAATACTAAAAGCTTGCTTGATAGCAATCATCAGGACGGTAAATACATCTCTGCAAAGGGCAAGAAGGTAGTGGTAATTGGTGGAGGTGACACCGGCACAGATTGTATTGGGACATCTATCCGTCACAGTTGCAGTAGTATTGTTAATTTAGAGCTTCTCCCTGAGCCGCCACGAACCAGGGCTCCTGGCAACCCTTGGCCACAGGTTTGACCCCTTTCTTAGTTTTTCCCCAGTTGATACAGTTATCACTTTTACTCATAGGAACAAGGTAATGAAAATTGACCACCTTAAAACTTTTGCTCAATTTTAATTTATAGCCTTCTGCTATGGGTCATAGCACGGGATAGCAAATTATTTCACTAACTTTCTCTAAATATTGTTAGTATTTGATAAAATTCAATCGAGATTGTGATTAGCAGAGAATTTCTAGCACAGCAAAATGATAAGTCTGATGCTGCATACCAAAACCTGTATAGCACAATGGTAAGCAGTTGACAGTGCCACTCAAAAGGGAGAAAAAAGGAGCAGGGAGTCTGAGATTTGATTTTAATTCTATCAATTTAAAATGGAAAAGAAAAAAGAACAAGAATAAGGGATCCTGTGCTTACGGAATATCAAGAGCAATGCGGTCCAACATATTGGTGCATATTTGCATTACATGTCAGATTTTTGATAGGAAGTCTCAACTAAAAGGCTGTGTAATTTTGAAAATGTATAACCCAATTTTTTTTATTACCATTTCATATGCCTTATTTTTAGATGTCAATACAAATTTTTGCCCGTCTTTTCTGGTTGGCAGTGGCCTCGCATATTCCGCATAGATTATGGACACCAGGAAGCTGCTGCCAAATTTGGCAAAGACCCAAAGTCCTATGAGGTATTGACTAAGCGGTTTGTTGGAGATGAGAATGGGGTTGTGAAAGGATTGGAAGTGGTCCATGTCCACTGGGAGAAGGATGCTAGGGGGAAGTTTCAATTTAAGGAAGTTGAGGGCTCTGAGGAGATGATTGAGGCTGATCTAGTTCTTTTAGCAATGGGTTTATTTGGTCCTGAATCGGTTAGTATTCTGAACTACTATCATATAATGGATGATATCTCTGGGGTGAACTACTTTGAAACTCGAAAAGCTACGGGATGGCTTGAAGATTTGCTGTCAAATTTCTGCACTCTAAAATATTGATGATAACAGCAAAAATGAAGTCTAGTTCCAGGCATTTGACCCTTCCATTCTGCGATCCTCTTCTTGTTTCTTAGTAAGATTATGGTATGCTTCAAGATGGTGATACTTCCACTTCCTCCGGAAAACCAATGCTTACTACTTGGATGGAACTGAATTGAATTTTACTCCAGGCATCCTTTTGAAAATGAACCTACTCTATAGTATAGTTTTTGTTTGAGGGTCCGAAGAGACCTTATTATATATGAACTTTATCAACACAAACGAATGTCCTTGATTTTGGAAATTATTCAGAGATGCAAAGGAAACAAAGCTCACATCGACTGTACAATGATGGACATTTTAGTAAATAAAATTGCACAATAAATTTTGATTAAAAAAATAAAATTGCACAATAAATCAAATTTGATTATATTTCTAAGCTCAAACTAAATCCAAGTAACAAATGATTCGGTCACAAACTTAAATTTATAGCATGTTTGGATGTTTAATTTGGGGGGTTTTGGACTGGATTTATGGAACGTTTCCAAACCCAGCCCAAAGGATTTACACATCGGATTCAAAAAAAAATTCAAATCAAATTCTATGTTTGGTAGGTGATCTAAATATATTAGTCATAACCCGTGTTTGAAAGTACGATGAAATATAAAAATCGATCCCATTATATTAATTTTTTTTTAACATGTATATACTATTGTATATGAATAATGTTTAAAATAAAAATTATGTTAAACTACAAATTAATCAAATATTGAATTATTGAACATGTAATAGAAATGAGTAATGTGATGTTGTTAGGAAAAAAAAATATGTAAGGGATAAAAATTTAAGTTGTTATGTATTTTATTAAATAGACGAAGGATTCATTAATTTATATCAAATCATATTACTCAATTTACTAAAATGTTCATTATTATGGGAATAAAATAATAAATTTTTGTGTAAAGTAGTCTTTTTGTTATTAAATCAAATCTTTCATTTTGAAACCCAATTTCCATAGGCTGCATTAAACTCCATGGCTCCATTTGTGGGTTTTAATCAATTATTCTTTACGGGCTAAGAAGGACTTACTTAGAATCCTGAGTCTCAAAATTTCAACCAAATACTAGTTTAGAAGGTGTATTGGATTTATTTTTATAAAATTCACCTCTTAAATCCTATCCAAACCCATATACCAAACATACCCTTCAAAGTACGATGCACTCTAGGCTTTTGTACTGCATTAAAATTTGGGATTGTTTAAGCATACAGAAAAATGATTTTTTTTTTCCTGAAACATGCAAATAGTGAAATATCATTAGAGGAATTAACCAAAGTTGAGTGAGATATTGCTGCTACTTAATTTTGATTTAAAATTTTATATTCTCATGAGGCATAACATAGAATTTTGCAGATTATCAAATTATTTTATTAGATTGCATAGTACGTCGTGGATCCTTCTTTCCCTTTTTTTTTTTTTTTACAAATTAGACTTTATTTCCATCACACTTAACAATTTCATGGTCATATGAAATCTATTGTAGGATAGCAGTGAATTCTAAACTAAAATTGTACTGTAGGTATCAGTACCAACGATGAATATTCCTTGATTTTGATTCTAATTGTTAATGAATCGTGCTAGTGTGCATTTTTGAATTATGTATCAAGTACTGTATCAAAATTTATTTAATTTATATTGAATTTATTTATTATCGTGTATAAAATTTAGTTGTGTTTAATCAAGTTATAATTGATCCGTTAATTTGTCAAGTGAATTTAGCATGTCAACTTGTTTATAACATGAACTTGTTAAAGATTACACACATAGTGTTGATTGATAGTCATATTCAGAATTATTTTCTATCTTAATAATGCTATGTGACCCACACGGCTAAGAAACATGCGTTAAAGCTAGCATATATTTAGCCTATGATAGTGACCAACAACAACCAACATTTCAGCCACAAACCACCATTGGCAACCCCAAAAAATCAAGTCTACAATGCCTCGTCAAAAAATAGTGGCCCACTATTAGGAATCTTTAAACAAACAATCAACTTGCCCTTAATGGGGTCTAGTGACTCCATAGATTGATTACTTTCCCCAGACTTTTGGGTACAAAGAAAAATCAAAGCCCTCTATGCTTAATATGGAATAACCCCGTTTTAATTATTTAGTCTTGGGTGACTGCATAACAAAATAGAACAATAATCTGCATCTACGGATAAGCATAACTTCTCTTGATTAAAAAATCATATGATATACCTCTCTCAGTTTTTTCAATAGTAGATCACCAATCAGGTATTAGTAAGTAGACCAAAATCGAAAAAAATCAAGAGAAATTATAGTTAAGAGGATCCAAATTCAAACATCCCATGTTGTCAGATGACTTACAGTACTAGCAGCATTATTGCACTACTAAAACACTAACAATATTTCTCACTCCAATTCCGAAATGGTTTCAAGCTCGCTGTTAAATGTTCTTGAAAACATGGTTGCACCCGTATTCATTGGATTTGTAGAGCCAAAAGGATTTGGTGGCAAGCTCAAATTGTCTTCTCCTTCTAGCATTTGAATCACAGTTTTCATTGCAGGCCGGTCTACTGGGTGCCACTGAACGCACCAAAGTCCCACAATTGTCAATTTCCTTGCTCTCTTTGTATCATCTTCTTCCTCAACTTGGATTTCCAATTCTTTCTCTTGATCCAAACTATTGTAAATCCACTCTGGGAAGTAGGATTCACTGGTGTCTGATGCTCCGACATCAACTTTCTTCTTCACTCCGACCATTTCAAGCAACAACATTCCAAAACTATAGACATCTGATTTATATGACACATTTCCGAAATTCCTTGAGAACACTTCTGGTGCAATATAACCAATGGTGCCTCTAGTAGTAGTCATGGACACAATGCTTTGATCCTTGGAACACATCTTTGCCAGACCAAAATCAGAGATCTTCGGATTAAAGTTGTGGTCCAACAAGATGTTATGAGGCTTAATATCAAAATGAAGGATTCTTTTGTCGCACCCTTGGTGAAGATACTCAATTCCTTTGGCTATCCCCAGAGCAATTTTCTGCAGCATATCCCACCCGAGGACACGTTTTTGATTTTCCATTGGTATAAACTTTTCCAGGGAATCATTCGGTAAAAACTCGTAAACAAGAGCCCTTCTAAATCCATCAGCACAGTATCCAACAAGGCGAACCACATTGACATGGTGTATTCTGCCTATTGTGCCCACTTCATTGATGAACTCTTCTCCATTTCCTTTGACACTCTTAAGAACCTTGACCGCAACGAATATATCATTTGAAAGCTTTCCTTTGAACACGGTTCCATAACCTCCTTGGCCCAGTTTATCCCTAAATTGGTTCGTAATCTTCTTTATATCAGCATAAGAGTATCTTGCCGGCTTAAGGGCTTTGTAGTCCTCCAAAAAATTTTCAATCTTCACTTGATCCTCTTTCTTTCTTATATTTGACCTGATAACAAGACACAGTGAAACAACGACTAGCACAAGAAGGAACACACCAGCGATGATACCTGCAACAAAAAGCATACTTAACAAATTATAAACCATTCTCATATAATTCCTTGATACAGATAACGATACAAAAAAAATAGTGTATACCTATATATTCACCTGCAACAACTTGTTTATGCGAATGTGAGGATGCACCTGAAAAGGACAAAAGAATTGTAAATTCAAAGAAGAGATATATATGATGTGAGGGACTTGATTGAATACGACGACTTGGAAAACTAGTCAGGGGTACCTATATATGGCTCATGATCAGTAGTACTTGAGCTGAGTTGAGTTATAAGAATGTCGAGGCATTCAGTTTGATCTTGGATTGTGCTGTTTTTCTTCAATTGGCAGTACTTATTTTCTGCTTCACAATTTCCACAAAAAGGTTTGGACCATCCCAGAAAAGCTACAACAGAGTGAAGGTCTGATCCAATATCATCCCCCAAAAGTACTTCTGGTGGAACGTCTGAAATGTTATACATCTTGGTGCAGGATGTTAGGTCCGTTACTAATTCATACATGGACAACCCCGAAGAAGGAGCGGCATACACTTGGTGACCAGGACCACCACTACGGCAGGTGACCTGCGTGTACATTAGGTATGTTGAGGGCCTTTTGTTTGAGGGACAACTGAATAGTGCATAGTCGTATGCGGGGGCTGGGAAGTCAAACGTGAAAGGAGAGCCGGCAGAAGATGAACTATTATTATACAGGGTTGGAATTGGAAGCCAACGTGGGAGACAACTTACATTGAAGACATTGATACCTATCCGCCGATGTTCATAACTGATTTCCAAGACCAAAACCTTGAGTGATAATGGAAGCAGAATTCTCTTGGTCGTTGCTCTCAGTGGAAATTGGAAGTCCTGATCAAACACAGTATCATTGTTTTGTGTGCAAGAGAGGTCAAAGGCAGGGCCATAGCCACAGTGAGCTGGCTGACGGTCTTTTATCCGGAAGGGGAACCGGATGTCAGGTCCGAATTCGCTGCATCTTGTCACCTTGCACTCATAATCTTTGCCGGCACCACAATTTCCGGCGAAGACTACTAGAAGAAGGAAGAAGGGAATGCGATAGATGACCATTTTCCAAAGAAATACCAAACAGTCTCCCAAGGTGTGGACCGCTGCTTGGCCTCTCCTTTCCTTGCAGATATTTTTGAGCTTGAAATCAAAAAGAAAGTGATAATAAGGAGAATCTGAATTTCTTTTTATACATATTTTGAGTTGGAGCTGGTTCTCTTAGTTTGATGGTACTATTCAAAAAAATTATATGAAGTTTCTAGTCTTGTTAGTTTCTCGGACAATTTATTCTTCTTTGGGACCCTTACATCAATCAAGGGTATGACAGGGAACTATATGAAATATCTAGTCTTATTATTAGTTTCAATGAAACTCTAATCTTGTTGGTTTCGAGTAAACAAACTCTTATGGGGCAAATTTTTTTTCTTTGAGACGTTTACCCTAAGTGTATGATGGGAAATTATATATGAAATATCTAATCTTATTAGTTTCAAAGAAACTTTTATCAGACTTATTTTTTCTCTCTTTAAGACTATCACAATAAGTGTATATCAAAAAAAAAATTGTATGAGATATCTATTCAAGTTATTTTCTAGCAAAATACAATATATACGTATAGTTAAAGAGGAGTAGGAGGTATTCTAAGTTTTCTCTTATGGAGTAGATCAACAATTTAAGGCAAATAATTAGTTCTAAATGACATTATTATTTATTCTCATATGACTGAATTCATATCTAACAATGTTATAGATATGATAAAAGTCTTATCATTTATCCATAGGGCGTGCTCGCTTTTGGTGGGACCTATATATTTAGTGTAGGACAGGGAAATTATATGAAGTTTCTGGTTAGTTTCGAGGGAATTCTTGTTAGACAAAAAACGGGGCCAAGATTATATAAGTATTTGAGGTGAGTTACAATTTTTTAAGATAATGTCATTATATTTATAGATAAAGTTGTTATTTTTAAGGGGTAATATTTAATGACAAAAAATTTACAGCCACACATTTGAGTAATATTAAATGCCAAAAAATTTATGGCCACACTTTTTTTTGGTACAGTACCACTGTTTGACCAGACGGTATCGTAGACTCTCCCGACTTAGCCAGCCATATATATATATATATATATATATATATATATATATATAATATATATGAAAAAGAAAAGTGGAATTGAATTTGAGAATTTAATCAAGATATAATTCATTGAATTGAATTACAAAGTTTGGGCTAGAGGCCCTGCGGTCATGGTAATCACGCGGGGGTGTGGGAGAATTGAGTTATTTCATATCGGATAGTTTCGGGTGTGTGAGTGTGTTAATCTGTCTTTCCTGGCCCTGGCTCTGTTAGAGTCATTGGTTAGGATTTGATCAAAAAAAAAAAAATTTAATTGTGAGTTTTAAAGTTAAATGAAATTCACTCTTAAAGAAAAAATTGTATACGAATTATGATTTTTGAAGAAAAAATTGATTTTTATTTTTGACTTTATTTTAAAAATAAAATACAACAAAACATGAATTTTATTTATAAAGTTTAAAATATTTGATATTTGATATTTAATTAAAATATTTTTAATCTAAATATAACATTTTAAACTCAACAAGTTTAAGTAATATATATTTATAAATTTCAAGAAGTTTAAGTGTAATTTATTAACGAATATATTCTAAGTGTTACGTTCGTAAAAATTTTAGGAGGTCTATGTATAATATTTTAAATATCAAAGTATCTGAATGATTAAATGACAAATCTCAAGAAGCCAGGATGTAAATCTCTTTTTTGGTGGGCAGGCCCATGGTCTAATACTGCTCCGTGGTTGCACCCTTATGATGGCCTTGATAGTTGATAGAGTTCAGTCTCTGAAATATTATTGGCAGAAATTATCCTAGTAGCCTACAACTGAACCGCATTATAGTTGAATTAGGATAATGATACAGAATTTCAAACCACATATCTATATGTACTATTAATAAAAGTATTTTAATAAAAAAAATTTTGATTGACTATTTATTCTTATAAAAAATTAATATATTTTTTTATATTTAAATATATAAATTACCATTATATTCCTTTATAGGTAAAGAACAAACTAATCTCTAACATATCATATAAATTTTTCTATTTTTGTAAAATTTTGGAATGGTCATGTTATGCTTACCGCATGATATATAAAAACAATATTATTTTTTTTCCTAAAAAACTCAATTTTAATACATGTTGACAACTCGATTGATACAATATTATCTTCAATGCCCAAAAATTTTTTATTGATTATTTTACTCTTATAAAAAAACATAAAGATTAATATGTCCTTTTGTATTTAAATATAAAAATTACTATTATATCTCTTTATATGTAAATAAAAAATTATTCTCTTACATATCATACAAATCTCTCTATTTTTATAAAACTTTTAAATGGTTATGTTATGTTTAACACATGATATATAAAAATAATATTACTTTTTTCCCGAAATTCCAATATTAATACACGTTGACAACTCAATTGATACAATGTTATCTTCAGTGCTCAAAAAGATATATATTTATCTTATCTCTTCATTCACAATTAAAATAATTTAGTAAAAAATTATTGATGCACAAAGTAAAAACAAGAAAGACAAAAAAAAAATCTATAAACTTTACTACTTAATAACTCGAATAAAAGAATCATATAAAATGAGTTTATTAGATGTTAATAGTTATGAAGAGAATATAAACAATTTAAGTATGATAAATATGAAATAATATAAAATGTAACAACATAATTAGATTTTATGTATTTTTTTAAATGCTTCACAAAAAATTTCATGTGCAATGCATGTCGTGCATTAGTAGTATGGTATAAGCGTGAACATTCATCAACCTTTTTCTTCCCTTTTTCAAAAATGGAATATATGAAAAATTCAAAAAGGAAAAAAAATGGAAATTGAAACACAGAGTTAATCAAGTGTTTGTTCAGTTACTTTCTCCTCTAGGTCAAATGTGTTGCTTCCGAAGTAATAGCTGGCCACCATGCAAACTTTGTACTAGAGTTGGCAATGGGTTGTCAAGAGTGTCACGTTGAGTCCTATCTTGTTTAAGTCGTGTTGTATTAAAATTTAGTCTAATTAAAATTAGACATATTTGTAATCATTTGAGTAATGTTAGGTTTGTGTTGTGCAAAAAATAAGAAACATATTCGACTTTATGTTGTGTCGGTTGTGTGTTGGCCTATTTATTATTGGATCTTAGCATTCGAAATACAAGGGACTAAAACAGCATGAAAGTGTTTGATGACGTCTGGGGCCTAAATTCTAGTTCTAGAGAATGGGCTGGGGTTGGAAGTTGCTTCCCTGCAGATATATAAGCACCCCATCAACACAAATGAGTGTCCTTTACATTAGAAAATATTCCGAGAATCAAAGGAAACAAAGCTCACATCGAGTGTATAATGATGGACATTTTTGTAGAATGGAGATTCTTATATGTCAAGTTCGAAAAGTATCAAGCGGCTGGGTTTTTTTAATCATCCAGCAGATCTAATTGATGGTAGGTGGGGCATTAATTGATTCAAGTAACTTGAATTTGATTTGAGTTCGGCTCAATTTTGATTCATTTATGTTCTCATTGATATTGCACAATAAATCGAATTTGATAATGTTTCAAAGTTTTAGATTCAATCCAAGTAACAAATGCTTCAATCTCATGTTTATAAAAATGAACAAATAAAAACCTATCGAATGTTTATAAGCTTTTGGGATCATGTATATTTGACCTAGGATTTAAACTAGACAATCAAGTTTAAAGAACGATATCAATTGCATATATCGTTAAGTATATATTGTAAGAAGACCTTTGGGTCTGTCTAAGTATAATGAAAAATGTTAGATATACGTTGACCCAATTTTTATTTTTCTTTTATTGTTCTGCAACATGAAAATTGTTAAATATCATTATAGAAATCAGTTGAAGTTGAGTGACATATTGCTGCTGCTTAATTTTGATTTAATTTTTATATTCTCGAGAGAAATAACATAAAATTTTACAGATTATTAAACCATTTTATTAGATTGCATTTGAAAATCATTGTAGGATGGCAATGAATTCTAAACTAAAATTATGTAGGTACCAATACCAATACCAACGATGAATATTCCTTGATTTTGATTTTAACTTTTCATGAATCGTGCTAGTGTGCATTTTTGAATTTTGTATTTAGTACTATATCAAAATTTATTTAATTCATACCGAATTTATTTATTATCGTACATGAAATTTAGTTGAGTTTAATCAAGTTATAATTAATCCGTTAATTTGTCAAGCGAATTTAGCATGTCAACTTTTTTATTACATGAACTTGTTAAAGACTACACACATACATGCACAGTGTTGATTGATAGTCATGTTAAGAATTATTTTCTATCTTAATAATGGTATATGACCCACACGGCAGATAAAGCTAAAGTCTTCCATGCCGCGTCAAAAAAAAGGTGGCCCACTATTAGGAATCTTTAGACAAACAATCAACTTGCCCTTAATGGGGTCTAGTGAGCGACTCCATAAATTGATTACTTTCCCCGACTTTCGGGTACAAAGAAAAATCAAAGCCCTCGAAAAGTGATGGAAGACACCTAGCAAAGAACTATTTAACACGTGGCAACAAGTATTTACACTTATCATCCAAATTTTGGGTATTAAATTAATGTAAACCACTAATTTAATTTAATGATTTGGACTGTACCCTGTCAGTGGTCAAAAATCACAATTATAATTTTTTTTAATCAGATTTTTTGCAACAATGAATTCAAAAAAAATAGATTGATAGATATCATTGATTGATTCCCACCACTAGCATTATTACTATATTTACCATCACCATTATCACCGTTATTGTCGCCATCCTATCATTACCTTCGTCACAATCACCACCGCCCCACCCCCACCACCGCCACTATCACCACCGCCCCACCCCCACCACCGCCACTATCACCATCCCATTATTATTTCTGTCACAATAACCAACGCAACAACCACCACCGCCCTCACCATCATCACCATCACCATCACCATCACCACTGTCAACGTTACCACCCTATCACCACCTCTACCACAACCCCCACCACCACCACTTCTGCCACAATAACCACCACCACCATTATCATCACTATTGTCACCCATCACCAATTGCTATCACCGTCGCCCAACGCCACTATTATCATTATCTCATTCTTATATTTATTACCACAATTACCCACCACCACCACCGTTGCCCACCTCTACTATTGTTGTCCACCATCTCCCACTACTACAACCCACCACCACCCTCGTCGCCCACCATCACCGTCGTCACTCACTATTGTCGTCACCCATTATCACATACCCCCACCACACCAACTACCATCACTCATCATCGTCCATCACCACCCGTCATCATTCATTATCACCCACCCCCACCGCACATACCTCTACCATTGTCATTCGCCATCATCCATCACCATCGTCGCCCACCACCACCACAACTACCGTCATTGTCCCACCACCACTACTGTTAATCACTATCGCTATCGCGTATCACCACGCACACTTACCATTACCACCATCATCACTAATGACTGTCACTACTATTATTGTCACCCAAAAATCACCATCATCATCTCTGTTTGTCATCCACGGCTGTCACCATCATTATTATTACCGTTCACCCTCACTACAACTGATGCTTAAATTATTTTTCCTCTTCTTTATGTTTATGATTTGATTTTGAGTATGAATTAAAATATGTCTATGATTGATAATTTTTTTTCTTATATTGTATATTCAGACATGGACTATAACTAATTATAGAAATGATAAAAGTCTTATCTATTTTATATTTATTTCTTTAAGTGACAGACTCATTTCAGGTGCATCCCCTAAACAAAGAATATTATAGCATATCTAACCGTGTTAATTCCGCCGAAACCCTATTTTGATTTAATAAGTTTTTTTGTTGACTGGCTTTGACTCAAAAAGCAATGCCTCACTTCATGCAAGACACGAACCAAATAATTATGAGGAATCTTATTTGCATTTAAATATTTGATATAGTTTATTGATATAATGATGTGACTTCAGTAAAATTAATTAATCAACACTAAATTCTAATAGTTGATGAAGTCTATAGTCAATCAAATGTTATAGTGAATTAGATTTCAATAACATTGCTCATATAAAATATCGTAACAAGTATTACCTATATCCAAAATTTGGGTATTAAATTAGTGTAAACCATTAATTTAATGATTGGGACTATGCCATGTCAAATGAATATAAAAAAAATTCAGTCTCGTATTTTTAAAATTTATTACTTTAGTAAGTGTTTTTAATTTGGTCAATTTCGAGGAAACTCTTGTGAGACAAAAGTTTTTTCTTTGGGACCCTTACATCAAGTATATGACAAAGAACTATATGAAATATCTAATATTATTATTAGTTTCAGCCAAACTTTAGTTTTATTAGTTTCGAAGAAACTCTTATCTTACAATTTTTTCTTCTTTGGGACCCTATCATAAGTGTACGAGGGGAACTATATATAAAATATCTAATTTTATTAGTTTCGAGGAAACTCTTGATTGAGTGACTTATTACTTATTTCTTTGAGACAACCACAATAAATATACATCAAAAAATTGAATGGAATGTCTATTCTTGTTATTTTCTGGCAACAAACTATACGTAAACAAAACGAGGCCTTGGAGTAGATCAATAATTTAAGACAAATAAGTAGTTCTAAATGGCATTATTATTTATTCATATATGATGCATCTATATCTAACAATGTTTATTTATAGATACTATACAAGTCTTATCCAATTTATTTTTATTTTTGTTCAGTAATTGACTTTGACTTTTCAACTGACGACTCATTTTAGGTGGGCCCCTAAACAAAGAATATATCTAACCGTGTTGATAGGGGGGCCTTACTACCATCCAACAAATCACATCATTTGGGTGCTTCCTTTTCCAGAGATATATGTATTTCACCCTTTTCTGGCTGTCTCTAAAACAGATGAAATGAAATGAAGCCACAAAAGAAGAGTTAAGAGATAAGTACACCTTGGCTTTGCTTTTCTTTCTAGTTCTGATGTCAGGAAGGAGGAGGAGGAGGGGGGTCTTCTTGCTTGTAAGCCAAAGATTTCTTCTACTAATTGTATTGTGCGTAACAAGTAGGTGCTGCAAAGCCCAGCAAAAGAATGATCAGAACTGCACTTCGTCTTGCGGGAATATCCATGACATACACTACCCTTTCCGGCTGGAAGACGATCCCCAGCACTGTGGTCTTCCCGACTACCAACTTGCCTGCAACAACAATCGCACTATACTATACCTTAAAACTCGTCATTATGCAGAGTACGACTACAAATTCAACTACTTCTACTACGTGGAGGCAATCACTTATGACAACTCCTCGATTCGACTTGTTGATCCCGGTCTAGACAAGGATAATTGCTCTTCTCTTTCAATTCAATCTGTCTTACCATATACTGAATATTTCGGATTCTCCACAGCAGGGCCATACTTTGGTGTTATGTTCACAAGCTGTCAGAATCCCGTAAATAGGAGTGGATATGTGGACGCTAGCTTTTGTGATAAAAGAAACACTACTTCCACCTCCAACACTACTTCACCATCTCCGTTGCAAAATCATAATTATGTGGTACCAGTAGAAATGGATATCTCGCAATTGGAGGACTCCTGCAGCATCGGCAATATGGTTATGACATCAGCAAATATCTTAGGGCCCGCGACGGAAGGCAACATTTCTTTTTCAGACTTATATGACGGGCCGGCATTTTACTATTTTCTGACGGGAGACAACATTTCTTTTTCGGACTTATATGACGGGCTCGCATATGGGTTTGAGCTTAGATGGTATCGCGCCTATTGTGGACATTGTGTAGCAAGAGGCGGCTGGTGCTATTCCATAGAAAATAATATCTATTGCGACTACTGCGCTGAGCTAAGTTTTGCTTTTGACACCCGCATATTCCATTGTGAGTGAGTAAAGATTTTACTTTGATTGCTTTGATGCTCTCAACATAATTCTTGTCTGCAATTTAATTTGCTGGAAAATATACACTTTATACTCTTTCTTTCTAAGCAACTAAATTTTCCGCCCGACGCATGTTGATTGGGCATCCCTACAAGTTAGGAATTACAAGATTGTAAGAACATTGCATGATTTATTTCTGCCTTTTGATATTATTTTTCCTTTTTTTTTTTTTTTTTTGTGGGAACATGATCATAAGTAAGCTAGGTTTGATATGTTTAGATCGTAGTTATTAGGTGGAGGAAAGAGAAGTGTTTGGACTGGATTCCTAAAAGGGGCTCTTTTGAGCATCTTTTTTTACCCCCTTTTTTTCCTGGTTTCAATTATAAATTATAAAATTCTCAGCAAGATAGAAAAACTTTGATACATACTATGTCCCGAAAACTTTGATTTAATGGGTATAGCTAGGTTGTAATAAGTCGAGGCTATAACCAAAGACTGAAGTATAAGTGACCTACTCCCAATTCCTCTTTTAAAGAGGAATTGGTTGGTGGGTCTCTCTCTTCGTCAGTGTGCTTGAATTACTATGTGAATTTTTTGTATGTTAATATGTGAATGCCTTAGTCCAAAAAAATAAAATAAGTGGAGGCTATAGACCTGAACATTCTCAAGCAAGTCTTACGAATAAAGTAGGAAAACACAATTACCAACAAAATTAGATAAAGGTAAAGGCACATTAGATTTTTGCATTATGCATGAAAGATAAGAACTGTGCTAAGTTGAACCATACTTCTATTGGTGGATCAAATGATATCATAGGATCCAACAGAAAATAGGAAAATCATAATCAAAGTCATAATATATGGTATTTCTAAAAAGTCATGCCAGTAAATTATAATATCATTTCGGTTTTGCGAATGAGAAATCAAAAGGCTGTGGTGTTACAAAATTCTCTTGATAGTGTGAAGCAAGAGGCGGCTATTGCCCTCTCGGATTTGAGGACAATGTTGTCCATTGCTTAGGGGGCAGAGCCACAACCAAAACCAAAACTAGAATCAGAAATATGTTGAGAAATGTATTATTAGGTGAGCACATTTAATCAGCAAAATTTTGATTTTTTTTTCTCATCAATAAAAGTATTGTGGTAAAAATATTTCCTTTTTTTTATTTACATCCTGTTGCATGTTTAAAGATTCATCAAATACAAAAAGGTTAAACACCAATATACGTAGTCTATGCAAACAATACTCAATAAAAAAAGGCTAATTATAAGCTTTTACAAAAAATGAGACTAATTACAATAAACCCTGACAACTGATAACGTTATTAATAATGTTATCAAAAATGTCTTTCTCTATATAAGTAATTAAGTTAATAGTAATCAATTTCAGGCTAAATTTGCATAAATTTTAAGAAATTATAGCAATTTTAAACAATTACGAATAATATAAGATTGTAAGAAATTTGCATAATGTATTTCTGTTTCTCATATTATTTTTCCTTCTCATTTTTTTTTGCTGGGGACATGATAAAATTAAGTTATAAGTTTTTATCGTAATAAGGTGGTGGAAAGAGAAGTGTTTGGACTGGATTCTTCAAACGGGCTTTACTGAGCATTTTTATTTTTTACTCCTTCTTTCCCTGGTTTTAATTATAAGGTTTTCAGCAAGATGGAAAAACTCAAAAGGAAAATCATAGTCAAAGTCATAAAATATATGGTATTTCTTAAAAGTAATGGCAGTAAATTATAATGTCATTTCAGTTTGTGTTAATGAGAAATAAAAAAGCTATAGTGTTACAAAATTCTGTTGCTAGTAATATCAACTAAACAAGATTATCAACTTACAAAACATGTCAGATCTATCTTGAGAGCACGATAATCTTACTAAAAATCTCCTAAATATCATAGTATCAAGTGTTTGAGTTTTTCTATTTTCAGTTCTAACATTTTTCATTTTGGTTTGCTGACATTGTTTATGTTTGGAAAATGTAGGCTTGCTTCAGTGGTTGATTTGTGAGTATTCTCTCTATTCTTTTCTCCTTTTCTTTCATGTTTATAAGCCTCTTCCTATAACTTTTTTAACATCTTATCTTTGGTGTTGCTCTCTTTTGGAATTTCTGACAGATGTTTTCCCTCTAGTATACAAACCAATCGGTAAGCTAAGACCCTCAATGTAATTTTGGCTTGTATTTAATGTCAGATTTTCAAATTTCCCTCGGCTCGAAGGAAAATGTGACTCAAATTGGCATGTTTTTGATAAGTCTGACTTGCGATCGCATTTTAGACTGTTAAGTAAAATCAGCCCCTTTTCTTTCCCCCACCACAAAAAAAAGAAAAAGAAATCCATAAGAATCTTTCTCTTTTTCAAATTCCCGAATTCACATTAATTTTTTCTATTAAAATATGCGTAGGATGGATTATTGCAGCAAGGTCTTTCTGTGGGATTTCATTTCTTCTCGCATTTGTGGTATATAAATGGAGAAAGCTGCACTTACCAATTTATGACAACATTGAAGACTTCCTACAAAGACACAATAACCTCATGCCCATAAGGTATAGTTACTCAGAGATTAGGAAGATGACTAATGGTTTCAATGAAAAATTGGGCGAAGGAGGCTTTGGTACTGTCTTTAAAGGAAAGCTTCGAAGTGGCTCCCTTGTTGCGGTGAAGAAGATAGGCAAATCCAAAGCTACTGGGCAAGAATTTATCAGTGAGGTTGCTACCATTGGAAGGATTCACCATTTTAATGTGGTGAGACTCGTTGGCTTCTGCGCGGAGGGTTCAAAGCGCGCTCTTATATATGACTTCATGCCTAATGGGTCTCTTGAAAAACATATTTTCCCACGAGAAGAAAAAACCGTCTCCTTGAGTTGTGAAAAAATGTATAAGATTTCTCTCGGAGTGGCTCATGGGATTGAATATTTACATCAAGGTTGTAACATGCAAATCTTACATTTCGACATCAAGCCCCACAACATTCTTCTTGATGAGAATTTCATTCCAAAAGTTTCTGACTTTGGGCTTGCGAAACTATATTCAATAGATGATAGCATTGTGCCTTTGACTGCAGCAAGAGGCACAATGGGTTACATGGCTCCAGAATTGTTCTACAAAAACATAGGAGGTGTCTCATACAAAGCTGATGTGTATAGTTTCGGAATGTTGTTAATGGAAATGGGGGGCAGAAGGAAGAATTTGAATGCAATTGCTGATCGCCCAAGCCAAATTTACTTCCCCTCATGGGTTTATGATCGATACAGCGAAGGAGAGGACATTGATTTGGGAGCTACCACTGAGGAGGAAAAGAAGATGGTTAAGAAGATGATCATAGTAGCGTTCTGGTGCATACAACTGAAGCCTATTGATCGTCCTTCTATGCACAGAGTGGTGGAGATGCTGGAAGGAGATGTTGCACTCCTGAAAATGCCTCCAAAGCCTTTTCTAACTCCACAAGAGATCCCAACTGAGAATCATGAAATGAACAAAGATGTTGTAGAGTTACCATTGTTGTCAGGTAACTCTGTAGATTCTCTCAGTGCGGATATTGAAGATTGAGGTAATGCAGGTAGCAATGAGTGCATCCATAAAATAAATCAAGCCAACAATCCTTATCAGACTGAGAGATTGTGAGCAAAATTTCCCTTGTTTTGCTATGGTAAACATAAATCTAGTCACTTCATTTTATATTTTGCAATGCCTCTTCATGGCCACATGACATTTGAGTTTTAACATTTGTGCAAGCTTGCTTAATTGAAATCTAATAAACTAAAATGATTTCCCATCTATAGAGGTTATGGAATTATATCATGGTTGTTATATGATGATCAATATTTTAAGAGATACCTTAATATTTTCAAAATAACACTTTACCCCTCCAACTCATCTCTGTTTTTGGAAAGACCTTTATGGTTGTTAATGGTCCTTAGATGTAAGGATAAATATATTGACATCCCTTATTGTTTATCTATCAATCTAGGACGATAAATTGTATCAACAAAGCATATCCAACTAATAATATTATTGTTTCTAGAACAACACTAAACCCCCATACTTTGGGATTGAATTTCCCTGACTTGACAAACCTGAAATTGCAATGGAGTTTCCTAATATCAACAGATTCATTGGTTTAGAATGTGAATAATAACCCTTGAAAATAACTCACCCACTACAGAAGGCAAGACCCAATACCAAACCCCATGCACAACTACCCATTTGCTTCCTCTTCCTTCCGTCCACAACCAAACGCGCGCCCACACACACATCTGAAAATCAAACGCGGCCGAAAATCAGGTGGTCCGCTGCCTCCACCTGCCACCAGTATCACCAATTTGAGAAATCGCACTCTTTCCTCTTTGTAGTAAAGATTTGACCAGCAAAAACAAGAATGAAAATATTTAGCAATAATCCGAACGTACACACACACACACATATTTATATATACCGGTATGCACACTCATATATCTTTATGCATAAATACGGGCAGAGCCAAAGAGAGAGATAGCACTTGCCATGAATCATAATTACTTTTCTGTCTTATCGGCTTACACATCCAGTCCCAAAGGATTAGAAGCAAGTGAAAGGAGGGCATTTCAAAGAAAACCCTCCTATAAAAAAAAGTGACATAAGAACCTCATCTGCCAAGATTCCGTCCCTCCTCCTCTGCTTTCCTTGTACCATCTGGTGAAATGAAATAGTTGAAAGACTAATTGGGTTTCTTATCTACCCCAAAAAAAAAAAAAGATTAATAAATTTTCTCTTCCAGCAACGAAGATCTAGAAGAACTGGTGTCACCAAACTTTCCTCAACTTTGCACTCATGCTATGTATGAGAACACCAATCGCACATGTGAACTACAATAGTCAATCTAACATCGGATATTCGTGGCATGCACTTCAATCATCAAAAGATAAAGGGTATTGGTGGCATGTTCCTATAGATCATCCTTTTTTCATTCCTTTTTTAGGTCTTGGCTTCGATGAATGTCAAACAAGTACAACTCGAGTACAACACAAACCAGTGATTAAGAAAAGAACATTGCAATTTTTATTCGAAACACTAGTAAAAATTAGAGGAACAGATACCATCTTTTATGTTCATACCTCAAATTTTGCAGTTCCCACCGGAAACAGTAAAAGAATTTCTGCGGGAAATCCGTTGATTGGACAACACCAGACTGAAGAGCGTCAATGAATATCCCAAATTCAAAAAGTGTTGCATTTGGTGTCTGTATAGGGCATGTATTATTCAGAAATGTGATAAATCCGACATTATTGTCATCACAATACACTGAAGCATGGACACAATCAGCCCTACTTGCACAAGCTTTTCGCCAGCTAGTAGTTTCACGTTCAATAGAAAACAAGTACCAAAAGGCTCCCAGTAGCTGAGAGCAGCCAAAAGAGAGTTTTGTAAGATAACCGATAAAATAACACTAGAATAAGACAAATATTTTTAGTGAACAGGCTAAATTCGAGATCAAGAAAGATTTTATAATGCATATGCAATTAGATGCCAAAAAGGTTGCAACTACAGACAAAACATGCATGCAATAACCACAAAAAAAAATTAAAAAAGAAAACATACATGCACTAGGGCAAAAATCATCCTTCTTGTTTATGCCTCAGAAATTATCACACACTAGTATAATAATGCAGAACCAATCATTAGACTCCGCTCAAAATGTTTCTTAAAAAACCTGCCCCAAATTGCTGAACAAGAAGAAAACGGATTTGGAATTGTCCAGAGAGGAATGGAAAATTGCAACGTGAGGACATTTTGGCAATGCAGAAATCTTTTCTCACCTGTGGCAGTGGAAGAACAGCTAGAATGTCAATTAAAAAGTACGATGATAAATATCTCTTTGCTATTGCCCAAGCATCTTCCACTAAAACACCTCTTCCAAATACTCGCGAAGAAGGAGCAATAAAGCGGGTACGAAATTGAAAGAAGATATGGATTATGTAAAAGATATCAGTGAAGGAACGCAATACACTAGCTGTGACCTCCAACTTTTTGTCCAACCCAAGGCACTTCTTCTCATTATCTATCAGTGGAATGTAAAAGAAAAAAGGATCCAAAGAGACAGCTAACTCACATGACAATGCAAATATTTTATTCCACTTTTGAAGGAACTGTCCTTGTGCTCTGTAGGTGACGGATGCGATAGAGATGTTGGTACGTATGTCACATAGAGGCGCTTGTGGTTGTGAGACAAATACTGGTGATGGAGCTGGTATTCTCGTAGCTCTTCCTCATGACTTCTATAAGGAGGTGTGTTTATCAACTTCACTTTCATTTCTCTTTTGAGGTAATAACTATGAAGACGTTTTTTCTATTAACAACCTTTCTCGACAGGGAATCTATTTTTTATTTTTGAAAGCTAACCGTTTTATTTTCTTTGTGATGAATTTATTTGGTTATGTAATTTTCGTTTCAAATTTGCGTGAATATATAAGGGGAAAGAAACAAAAAGAGAAAAATGTTTAGTAAGTATGCGTGTTTCTAATACCTTAACTGAATTCTAATTTCTAGCGGTTTTACTCTTGTTGTCTTTGGCTCAAGGCCATATTCTCCTTTACTTTATTATAAACTACTAGGTGGTGATTTTTGTTTGGTCATCTTGTAACAGGTTGCTAAGGATATTGGTTTCGAGCTGGCACCACGTTGACAATATGCCGTGGGCATGTTCTTCTTGCCTGCATCTGAAAGTCGAAGGGAACAAAGCAAAATTGTATTTACAAAGGTAACTTAGCTAAAATTTGGCCTGTTTGTTCTCATTTCTTTTGCTGTCTATGTTTAGTTTAGTGGAGACTTCATCTATATTCTTATTCTTTTACGTGAACTCCAGCGAGGAGCATCTTCATTATTGCTCAAATATTTGAAATGGAATTCTTGGCACAGTTCCGGATTTCTATGTTTTGAGTTGCCATTCCGATTAATTGCTAGAATTTTCTTATATCTTGTCTTGATGTTGTTTTCTGAGAATTTATGAAATATATTTGTAGGTGGCCGAGTCTCTTGGGCATACTGTACTTGGGTGGCGCATGGTCCCCACAGATAACTCAGGATTGGGCAAATCTGCTTTGCAGATAGAACCTGTTATTGAGCAAGTGTTTTTTACACCTACGCCTCGGTCAAAAGCTGATTTTGAGCAACAGGTAAATCTCTCTCTGTTATGCTAGAATCAGTTTTTAGGCTTGAAAGTGGGATGATTTGTCCGTTCTGCATTCACTGGCTTCCCCTGACTAAATCCATGATAACTAGTACCTATAGTGGATTTTTGGCAGAAAGTACTCACAATATTGGGGTTACATGATTTGTCAGTTGTGCATGGACTGGCTTCCCCTGATTGAATACAATCCACTAGTACCTCCAGTGGATTGTTGGAAGAAAGTACTCACAATATTGGGGTTGTTGCATGATTTCCCATGGGGAAGTTCCCTTGATTTTACAATCTATTTGTTTTGTAAAAATGAGGTGAAATTGATGAACCATGTGACTCTTGCAGCATACTTTCTCAGTCCTCTCTTATTTCCCGTAATGTGTTTTATTTGAGAGTTTCATCCAATTATTTTCTTCCTTTGAAAGACTCCTGGTCTTCGCACTTTTTGTTGTCTTTCTTTTTCATTCTGCAGATGTATATATTAAGGGGGGTTTCAATGGTGGTAGCTATTCGAGCTGCACTAAACCTCCAACATGGTGGTGTGAGGGACTTCTACATATGTTCTCTTTCCTCAAGGTTTGTTTGCTGTAGTGTCTTGCCGATATGTTCATTTGCTGAATTCTGCTTTCAGACTGTGAAGACCTTACCTTGTTTCTGCAGGACTGTTGTCTACAAGGGTCAGCTGAAGCCCAATCAGTTGAAGGAGTACTACTATGCAGATCTTGGCACTGAAAGGTTTACAAGCTACATGGCCCTGGTAAATATATTTTTCATTTACACTTCTTCTTTGTACACTGACTCCATACTTTGGCAACGAACAGCATGGGATGAACCAGTTAACTGGAGAGATTTCAAGGTTGAGGAATGACTTCTGAGGCACTGAAGTTTGAATGATCTCTTAAGTTCTTCCACTCCCTAGATTACTGTTTGAATTTGGATGCCAGATTGGATTTTTTGGGTGAGTTGGTAAATTACCTCATTATGAAGTAAATCATGTTTGCAGAAACTTGTTGCCTTGCTTTCTATGATCAGTCCTTAAGGACAAAACCTTCATGTTGGTGGTTGAAAAGAAATTGTGTTTGGTCAAGGTAGTTTAGGGTTTCCATGATGTTTTGTACTGTCATTACAGTATATCATAATTGTAGTGCCCTGAACACGATTTCATTTCCAATTATGAAGTTAAGAACCCATATTTTCATAATGTGGACACATTTTGGAGTGAAAATATGGTTTTTTCGATTCTTGGTGCAGATACACTCTAGGTTCTCAACTAACACATTTCCGAGCTGGGATCGTGCTCAGCCTATGCGTGTCTTGGGCCATAATGGGGAAATTAACACACTCCGGGGAAATGTAAATTGGTAAGTTGTTTAGTAACTAGTGAATTAATTGTTTTCCATGCCATTGGGTGTATCTGTGATCCGTTTGCATGCTCACATATACTTGTTTAGGAGAAACTTCCCATTTTTCGGATAAGCAGGATGATGATGTTGTTAATTTAAAAATGGTTAGTTAAATAGGTGCGGCTTTTTTTGAATGAGAGGTCATGAAGTTTAAGTCAGATATTACTAAGGCCAGACATGTTCCTCAATTATTTAAGTCAATGATGTCTTTTTAAACTAGAGAAGTTAATGACACCGTTCGACTTTTTTTTGTGTACAGTCCTTGGATTGTAATGTTAATAAAATGTGTGATACTGATGAGGCAGTGCTGTTGAACGCAGAAATTTCCTGCATTTTGAACGCAGAAATTTATAAAAATATATAACGATGACTGGATGCATTAGAAAGCAGAGGCACTGCACCCCGCAGATGTATGATAACCTGACCAAACCTGGAAGCAAAGATCATTGGCAGAAGTATGATAACCTGACCTAACCTGGAAGCAAATATCATTAAGTTACATAATTTGGATTTTTGCTTGAGGGATGCAGTCAAGACTCATGTTGACATTGGCCTGTACTGGGGTCCGGAATGCAGATTCTAGTGATTTACCACTGAATACCTGCAATGAACCTTCTAGTACCTCCAGGATCGCGTTCCCTAAAAACTATGCTTCCCCTGATGAAATCCATTGATAACAAGGCTTTTGAGGAGGGATGGATGGTGCCACGGCCTCCCTCAAGGAGAACTGGGTATGCTTTTGATTTTTAGCTTGACTGTAGTTTCCCACATCTTAAGAGGTGTTCCACTTTTAAAAAAATATATATTTTCTGTTCTGGTGTGATTGCAAGTCTTAAGATTCTTTTTTAAGCTTAGAAACTTCCGTTTCTTTTATTGGACTTTTCCACAAGTACTATATTGTCTCGAATGAAATGTCATGGCGAAACTGATCCTAATATTCCTCACTCTTACAGAAAAAGAGTTGCTATCATTGGAAGTGGCCCTGCTGGATTGGCTGCCACTGATCAATTGAACAAAATGGGCCATAGTGTGACTGTGATTGAGCGTGCTGATTGAATTGGTGGACTTATAGAGGAAAAAAGATAAAAACAGAGGAAGAAGAAAGCTTGAATTGATATGTCTCTTATTCAATAATCGGCAACGTGAACCATTAGGCATTACAAGAGGAGTATTTAAACAAGTAATACAACGAAATGATTTCCAAAAAATCTGCTACAAAATGGTTTCTCATAAAATCAGCTGCTACAAATGGTCTGATTTTTCCAGATTTTTAGGACTTGCTGGATCATTATTCTGGTTTAAATTTATTGCCGTTAGAGCTCCAATGCCTCTCAACGTCTCTCCACTGATTTCTGCTACAAATGGTCTGATTTCTCATAAAATCTGCTGCTACAAATGGTCTGATTTTTCCTGATTTTTAGGACTTGCTGGATAATTATTTTGGTTTAAACTTATTGCAGTTAGAGCTCCAATGCCCCTCAACGTCTCTCCACTAATTTCGGCAATATTGTGAGAGTCTTCCCCCTTTTTTCTCCAAGAATCTTGTGCTTCCTTATTGCTCCATTGACTCTCACTACTGTTGAGTGTGCCGAGCTGTGGTTTGTTGCTAATACTTATGATGTATGGGGTCCCTAACATGAAGACTGACAAAGTTGATGTTGTCCAAAGGAGGGTTAACCTTATGGAAAAGGAAGGTGTGAATTTTGTGGTCTATGTTAATGTAGGAAAAGATCCTTTTTACTCATTGGATCGGCTTCGCCAGGAGAATGATGCTATTGTTTTGGCGGTAGGCGCTACAAAACCCAGGTGAGTCATGGAGAATGAGTTATGGATGATGCTTGTTTGGATTGTTTATAAATAGAAAATTTGTGAAACTTAACAGATCTTTCCCCCCATCTTCAGGACAGAATATAACTCGTGAACTAATATTTACAGGACCTCCCTGTTCCTGGGCGCGAACTCACTGGAGTCCATTTTGATATGGAGTTTCTTCACGCCAATACTAAAAGCTTGCTTGATAGCAATCATCAGGACGGTAAATACATCTCTGCAAAGGGCAAGAAGGTAGTGGTAATTGGTGGAGGTGACACCGGCACAGATTGTATTGGGACATCTATCCGTCACAGTTGCAGTAGTATTGTTAATTTAGAGCTTCTCCCTGAGCCGCCACGAACCAGGGCTCCTGGCAACCCTTGGCCACAGGTTTGACCCCTTTCTTAGTTTTTCCCCAGTTGATACAGTTATCACTTTTACTCATAGGAACAAGGTAATGAAAATTGACCACCTTAAAACTTTTGCTCAATTTTAATTTATAGCCTTCTGCTGTGGGTCATAGCACGGGATAGCAAATTATTTCACTAACTTTCTCTAAATATTGTTAGTATTTGATAAAATTCAATCGAGATTGTGATTAGCAGAGAATTTCTAGCACAGCAAAATGATAAGTCTGATGCTGCATACCAAAACCTGTATAGTACAATGGTAAGCAGTTGACAGTGCCACTCAAAAGGGAGAAAAAAGGAGCAGGGAGTCTGAGATTTGATTTTAATTCTATCAATTTAAAATGGAAAAGAAAAAAGAACAAGAATAAGGGATCCTGTGCTTACGGAATATCAAGAGCAATGCGGTCCAACATATTGGTGCATATTTGCATTACATGTCAGATTTTTGATAGGAAGTCTCAACTAAAAGGCTGTGTAATTTTGAAAATGTATAACCCAATTTTTTTATTACCATTTCATATGCCTTATTTTTAGATGTCAATACAAAATTTTGCCCGTCTTTTCTGGTTGGCAGTGGCCTCGCATATTCCGCATAGATTATGGACACCAGGAAGCTGCTGCCAAATTTGGCAAAGACCCAAAGTCCTATGAGGTATTGACTAAGCGGTTTGTTGGAGATGAGAATGGGGTTGTGAAAGGATTGGAAGTGGTCCATGTCCACTGGGAGAAGGATGCTAGGGGGAGTTTCAATTTAAGGAAGTTGAGGGCTCTGAGGAGATGATTGAGGCTGATCTAGTTCTTTTAGCAATGGGTTTCCTTGGTCCTGAATCGGTTAGTATTCTGAACTACTATCATATAATGGATGATATCTCTGGGGTGAACTACTTTGAAACTCGAAAAGCTACGGGATGGCTTGAAGATTTGCTGTCAAATTTCTGCACTCTAAAATATTGATGATAACAGCAAAAATGAAGTCTAGTTCCAGGCATTTGACCCTTCCATTCTGCGATCCTCTTCTTGTTTCTTAGTAAGATTATGGTATGCTTCAAGATGGTGATACATCCACTTCCCCCGGAAAACCAATGCTTACTACTTGGATGGAACTGAATTGAATTTTAAGGCCCATTTAGAATTTTTGACCAATGGCAAGCTTCTCTAAGACGCTGGATTAATGATGAAACAAAGAAATTGGGCCTTGTAATTGCCCATTTGATTGGTGTATGGTGTGAGTTTGGCCACAAGGCCCACAACCAAAACGACACCGTTGCAGAAAAGGACGAGTCCCACCGCCTCATGTGTCTAAAGCTCAGGCGCCGCCGGTCTCTCTCTGGGGACCGAGAGAGAGTTCTCTTCTAGCGGCGGAGACAAAAACGAAGAAGAAGATGGCGAGCAATCTGGGCCGTCTATTCACATCAGCAATCGAGCTTTCCAAGCCTCCAAAGTTATCTCTATCCTTCGGCAGATCCGAACCCTCGACTCAGCGATTCGACTTATTTGGTCTTTCGACGCAGCGAAAACAATCTCATCAAGAAAACCCAAGGAACCAGAAGGTGAGGTCTCGGAAAACTCAGAGAAGCTCGAAAGTGAAGATGACGATACTCACAATGGCGATGCTGAAGATGAGGATATGAGGACAGTGATGGCGTTCAAGTGAATAAAGAGACCGGTGAGATCGGAGGTCCCGAACCTACTCGCTTCGGCGATTGGGAACGAAACGGTGGGTGCTCTGATTTCTGAGATTCGGTCGATTCACAGCCGTTGATTTAGGAATGGAGTGAAGCTATGAGGTCAGTCAGATTTTATTTTGGGTAATTGCGAGATCATCTTATTCTGGGCTGATTCAACACTTTCTGAAATCTATTTCTATAGTATAGTTTTTGTTTGAGGGTCTGAAGAGACCTTATTATATATGAACTTTATCAACACAAACGAATGTCCTTGATATTGGAAAGTATTCAGAGATGCAAAGGAAACAAACCTCACATCGACTGTACAATGATGGACATTTCAGTAAATAAAATTGCACAATAAATTTTGATTAAAAAAATAAAATTGCACAATAAATCAAATTTGATTATATTTCTAAGCTCAAACTAAATCGAAGTAACAAATGATTCGGTCACATATTTATAAAGATTAACAAACTTAAATTTATAGCATGTTTGGATGTTTAATTTGCGGGGTTTTGGACTGAATTTATGGAACGTTTCCAAACCCAGCCCAAAGGATTTACACATGGGATTCAAATAAAATTCAATCAATTTTATGTTTGATAAGTGATATAAATATTCTAGTAATTACCCGACCTTTGAAACTTAAAAAAAACGCTCATAATCATAACTTT